ATTTACTTATCAGTGTGTTTGTTTTTCGGAGCTATGTTGACCGTTGACAAAACAAATTTTAAAAGGCGATAAAGCAAGAAATGATGGAAATTTAGCAAATTGTCCTTTATTCTGTACACAACCCGTCTCATACTCATTTTGTTTCAAAGCATTCTATATGTTTATGCTAATTGTCCGCTTTACTCACATCATCCACAGAACGAGCAGATTTTTACGTAGCTGAGGCTCCTTGAATACGTCAAGGATTCCGATTTTCTTCTCCGGTTGCTTCAATTCACCCTTATCCTCAGGTGGTTGCACTGAAACAGCAATTACATTAGAACAACGAGAGCTGGTCCCCATCATGGAAGAGGCTTTCTACTTTGGAAATTTAAAATGAAAGCAAAAAAAGTCTATTGTTGCGCCTTACTTGGTTCGAATTCCATTCCAGACATTTTAGCGATACGTTTGCGGCTCTCCTCACTCTCTTGGAAGCGTCCCTAAAAATCGATGAATTCAAGAAAAAGAAACAGAAAAAATCCTTTTCATGTCATTTGCAACCGTTAAAAGTGTGTTGGAATGTGGCCACAAAGAGAACTTACCTTCTTTCTCAGCCATATATGACTTTCGGGTAGGACAAACAACACAATGCATAATTTGATACAGGATAGTGCTGCCGAAAGATACGATGAAAGACGCCATTCACCAGCAAACAGACATACCAAAGTTAACAGAATACGTCCATTAGCCTGAAAAAATCATAATTTTGTCAGGAAACAATACCGAAAATTTGCCTGAATTTCGAAAACCCGCTAGTTTGTTGCATTAATGGGGAAGGCTGAACGAGGTTAAGTGTGTAACTGAGATGAAGACAATTTAGAAAACTAGGTACAAATTAGCGCTAGAGACACTTTTCTACTTATAGAGACTTTACGAAATATGCGCGGTCAGAAGACTGCCAGTGTTTTTTGTTAAGAATAAAATTATAAATACATCATAAAAATTGGTATTTATTTCACTTAAGTCCTTTCACACTTTAGCCCAAACCCACACTTTCTAATGCGAAACATTGAAAAAATATATTTAGGATGTTATTGCTGGAGACAACATCTCGCATACAATGTTCAACTTGGTTTCACCATTTGAATAGACGCTCAAGTTCTAGCTTACAAAATTCTAAAACTCTAAATAATTTTCTGGAATTGGGAAAATACTAATGACAAATCAAATTTTTCGAAGTAGTGTATCACCTCTAGCTTTATATTACTGTGTTGAAAATCTAGTGAAATGGTCAGAGAACAGGAATGTCAGAAGGTCAGGCAAGATCCACGTAGAATTGAGGATCAGCTCTCACCCTCTATCAATCCTTTTTAGGAAAATAATCTTTTACTCACCCAGTTACTGAAAGTCCTCAATTTGAAACGCTGATGTGGTGATATTAGTTCTGAACAGTAAGCCCATCCAACAACCTGAGTTCCTGTAATTTTATTTTT